GCAAAAAGAGGCCCTCTTTCCTCCAATGCCCAGACAAGGATAGAAGCTGCTGCAAGAAAACCACAAAGAACAACTGCAAATCGAAGGGCTTTGGATGTGAAAAAAATTGTGGGGAACGACCAAATTTAAAGGTTGTAAGGAAGGAAGAGTCTGCTGCAAGCAAGCACAGAAAGGGAACTGCAACAAAGGGAGGAAACTGTAAAGAAGAAGCAAAATGCAACACGGAAGTCTTAAAGCCCAACAAGCCATGCAAAGATGGAAAGATTTGTTGCAAAAAGGGAAATAATAAATGTAAAGATCTGGGAGGCAGATGTCGAAAGGAAGCCAAATGCACAGGGCAAATATTTACTCCCTCTATACCATGCAAGGATGGTAACGTCTGTTGTAATAAAGGAAATGATAAATGCAAAGATCTGGGAGGTAGATGTCGAAAGGAAGCCAAATGCACAGGACAAATATTTACTCCCTCTATACCATGCAAGGATGGTAAGGTCTGTTGTAATAAAGGAAAAGATAAATGCAAAGATCTGGGAGGTAGATGTCGAAAGGAAGCCAAATGCACAGGGCAAATATTTACTCCCTCTACCATGCAAGGATGGTAAGGTCTGTTGTAATAAAGGAAATGATAAATGCAAAGATCTGGGAGGTAGATGTCGAAAGGAAGCCAAATGCACCGGGGACGTACTCACTCCCTCTATACCATGCAAGGATGGTAGGTCTGTTGTGAAAAAGGAAAAAGCAAATGCAAAGATCTGGGAGGTACATGTCGAGAGGAAGCCAAATGCGACGGGGATATACTTACTCCCTCTGTACCGTGCAAGAGTGGTAAGGTCTGTTGTGAAAAGGGAACAACTTGTAAATCACTAAGTGGACAGTGTAAAACGGAAGACACATGTCAAAGCAAAGTGTTAAACCCCAGCAAGAAGTGCAAAGCTGGTAAGGTATGCTGCTTAATCCGCACCTGTCGCGACCGAGGAGGGAAGTGTAAGAAGGAAGGAGAGTGCAACGGTAGAATCGTCAAGGTGAAGAAGCCATGCAAGGAACCCAAAGTCTGCTGTCTAGGTAAGTGAAAGAAAATTGCGTAAAGCACAGATACACAGTACTCGAAAATCTACATGATAATGAATGGCTTTAAGCATACATATATACAAATACGAAATGTACTATCTATTTTACTGTTAATTTATGTCAGTATGATTATCGTCGCGATTATTTAATGACAAAATATTCCAAGTGATGATAGTCAATAATGCTACTAATGATAATGGTATGAACAAAATTAGGAATCAAAATTAGTTTATAGGTGAAATGATTCATGAATACACCACCCATCAGCTGTATGAACTGCTAGAACTGTCATAAATAGGAACATTAGAACAGACAAAGGCACAATTCGCTTCGCAGTAGCGTATTTTCATTTTGAAAATATCTTTGATTATGATAGTAATAACAATCATACTATTTACGACGATTTTGATGTTACATTAATGTGATAATCATTCGTCACCATCATTACTATCGTAAGCATCGCCGTCTTCATCGTCATCACCATGACTCATGATGAGAATACTAGCGATAATTATGATGATGGTAATAAGATTCTGAATCATGGGAGTAATACTGATAACAAGGACATCAATGAAACTGCCCCAAAGAGGATGATTATTAGGTGATTTCTATACTAATATTTGGTTACGTGTGGAGTTACTAATTCTAGGCTCTTTTACCAGTCAAAAAGGACCCAGGTACCACGATTGGACCGCAACCACAGACCTCTCTAGCCCTTCTTGACCGCCGCAGCCTGGACGCAAACCAGCCCTGGACCGAGCCTAACCAGCCCTGGACCGCAACCGCAGCCCTAAACAGCCCTGGACCGCAACCGCTAACCAGCCTGGACCGCAACGCTAACCTCTAACCCCTGGACCGCAACCGCTCTGGACTAACAGCCCTGGACGCAACCGCTAACCAGCCCTGGACCGCAACCGCTAACCAGCCCTGGACCGCAACCGCTAACCAGCCCTGGACCGCAACCGCAAACAGCCCTGGACGCAACCGCTAACCAGCCCTGGACCGCAACCGCTAACCAGCCCTGGACCGCCGCCAGCCCTGGACGCGCAGCCCTGGCAACCGCAAACAGCCCTGGACCGCAACCACAAACAGCCCTACCGCAACCGCTAACCAGCCCTGGACCGAGCCTGGACCGCAACCGCTAACCAGCCCTGGACCGCAGCCACAAACTAGCCCTGGACCGCAACCGCTAACCAGCCCTACTAGCCCTGGACCTCAACCGCTAACCAGCCTGCCCTGGACCGCAGCCACAAACCTAACCAGCCCTGCCCTGGACCGCAACCGCTAACCAGCTAACCAGCCCTGGACCGCAAAACCAGCCCTGGACCGCAACCGCCAGCCCTGGACCGCAAGCCCTGGACCGCAACCGCTAACCAGCCTTAGCCCTGGACCGCAACCGCTAACCAGCCCTCCGCAGGACCGCAACGCTAACCAGCCCTAACCAGCCCTGGGGACCTCTTCCGGATCGCAACCACAAACGACAATAGCAGATACAGCTACTCCAACTACAACTATCGCAGATACAGTGGCTGCAGATACATCAACTATTGCAGATACAACAATTATTGCAGATACAACAACTATTGCAGATGCAATGACTACTGCAGATATAACAACTACACCAGATACTACTGCAATACAACAACTGCTGCTACAACAACTGCAGATACAACTACAGCGGATACTGCAGATACAACTACAGCAATACTACTGCAGATACAACTATTACTGTTACAACAACGGCAGATACAACAACGACTGCTGATACATTTACTGCAGATACAAGGACTACGATACAACAACTGCAGATACAACCATGCA